TTTCTGGCCCTTTAATTTGTGTGGAACAACGTCTGAGTAACACAACATACCTAAGTATCATTGCTGATCAACTTCATCCTATCACGTTGATAGTGTATCCCAATGGAGATGGCTTCTTCCAACAAGACAATGTGCCATGCCATGGTGCTCGTATGGTGCAGGAGTGGTTTCAGAAACATGAGGGAGACTTTACCTTGCTTAGGTGGCCCCCACAATCACCAGATCTCAATCCAATTGAGCATTTGTGGGACAAAGTTAAAAGAGCCATCAGGCAGCTGGTTCCACAACCATCAAATCTCACAGAGCTGGACAAGTGCTATTCATCAGGCATGGTGTCAGATTCCTCGCATCACCTTTCAACATCTCGTGGAGGCAATGCCAAGAAGAATCACTGCAGTATTGAAGGCAAAAGGTGGCCCAATGAAGTATTGATGGGGTGGTCATAATAATCTGGCCACTCAGAGTGTGTGTATGCGTTAGATAAAGTTACCCTTCTGCTCAAACTCCTACTGGGACAATTTCACTCTATATAGAAATCAAATCCTAACAGTGACTGGAAAGGCACTGTCACAGTGCTGTCCAATATGGTAGCCACTAGCCACCTGTGGCTTTTGAGACTTAAAATATGGCTAGTCTAAGCTGAGATGTGCTATAGGTATGAAATATGTACTAAGTTGTAAAGTCTTACTGCATTAAATATAAAATACCATATTAACACTTTATATTGATCACATGGTAAAATGATACTGTTTTTACATAAATTGTCTTAAATATACTATTAACATTAATTTCACAGGTTTCTTCTGTGAATTTTTTCAATGTGGCTAGTGAATATTTTAAATTACATATGTGGTTTGTATTGTGTTTGTTTTTTGTTTTTGTTTTTTAAATATATTTTATTGATTTTTTACAGAGAGGAAGGGAGAGAGATAGAGAGTTAGAAACATCGATGAGAGAGAGACATCGATCAGCCGCCTCCTGCACATCTCCTACCGGGGATGTGCCCGCAACCCAGGTACATGCCCTCGACCGGAATCGAACCTGGGACCTTTGAGTCCGCAGGCCAACGCTCTATCCACTGAGCCAAACCGGTTTCGGCTGTATTCTGTTTGTTTTATATACTCTTGCTCCAGATAGTCTAGACCTGAAGTTAACTCTCCAACCTCCTTTCATCTATTCTTCCCCTCACTTTAC